TAAAGGATTCAAAGATATTATTCCGTCATTAAATATATTATAATATATATTTCAAATTTCCTTTGTTATATACAATTATTTGTTAAAACAAATTGAGAAAATAGAAAATATACAATAAATTTTAGGGCACTCAGTGGATATATAATTTACTTTGACCTTGATAAAAACTTTAATACCTGAATTTTTTTGGGCGAATATACTGGCTGGGATATCGTAAACCGCTGCTATCATCTTTACACATGTGTGGCCACATCAGTAATAAAGAGAAACGTTGAAATTTTATGATTTCAGACTGGCACTCGTAAAACTGGAATTTCCACGAATTTCCGTGAATTATATGTACGTGCGGTTTCCGCCATTGGCGGAATTCAGGTCGGATTTTCATGGAAGTTCAATAACGGGCGAGTTGAATCGTCCCGAGGCATTTTAATACGTCTACATATATATTATATATCTAGGCACGCAGGAGCACTCGCGTATGTATACGCGTCTTATGTAATCTGTCCATAATCCTCTACCGAGCGCAGAGCAAAGCTCTGAACCTTTGTTGCGTAACCCTTTCTCTCACCTTTTATTAAACCTGTAGTAGCATTTTAACGCTGGGCATAATAATGCAATATATATCTATTGTGTACAAGCACAATTAAAAATTAAAGTTCCATCATTATGCATTCATATTGTAGGAGAAAATTGTTTTCTATGAAATCGATGTGCATTTACAGTCCAGGACAATTTATTAAAACAAATAAATTTATTATTATAAAACAAAAAAATCATATTATGTATAAATTGGCAAGTACTTTTATCAGCGAAATCAACGAAATTTACAACAACAATGTGCAAGAAATGTTATTATTCACTATCTTAAAATCATAATTTCAATTTTAATAATCATGGAGATAAAAAAACAATAGAAGAAAATATAAAGATTTTAGATAAAAGAATTGTATGTGTGAAAAAAGATGAAGAAATAAATTTGCTATATTACATTGCTTAAGAATGCATATATTTTTTAAATGTATTTTCCACAAATAAAGTTTCATTATTTTACACATAAAAGTTTAGAAAAGATTTTCAAAAAATCAAAATAATACTATAAAATATATATGATATTTTCTTCTAAAATTATGAAATTTTTATTTTAAAAAACAACTAAAATATTTGGAAAAAATTGAAATAATGTATTTGAGTGATCTCCATTCTTAAGAATTGTTTAAAGTATCTCGCAGATTGTAGTTCTCCTACTTATTTTGTACACATTAAGGAGATCCTCTAAAACATCACAAAGAGATGACTCACCTATTCTGGAGGGTGGAAGTAACAGCCCTTGTGCCTCTTCGAGTGGCATGGCATGCCCATGATCTCGGTAATGAGGGCGGTCTCTCATCTCTCCTTCCGGTTACAATAGTCACGTGTGTTTTTACGATGTTCCTCGCTAAATAGCGGTAATCGTCGGAGACCGGGATTGGGACTGGGACCGGAAGCAGGAAGCTGCGTGAGTCCTGAGGGACTCCTGCTAATGACGGCGGACGGTGATTGAGTGTCATCGCCCCGCCGTCACAACTAAAACCATGCTCAGGTCACCAAGATCGCACCAAGATTCTCCAGCTTGCGTCAGTAGAGCTTTGTCGATTTACTTTCGTTCTGTCAAAAAAAAATTCTCATTATAAGATAATGAAACATAAATATATGGCAGGCCTATCCAATCTGAACTCCGGAGCCAAAACGCAAAGCTAACGACAAAAAAAAATTTAGTGTAAAATTTCAGGGACTGTAAAGTGTTGATACATCTAAGTGATGCTTATCAACACTTTACAGTTCTCGTATGGAGACAAATATACAGTATTACACTAGAATTCTAAACTTTATGGAATTATCAAGTTCATATAGGAATACATGCCTACTAAAATTTTCTTTACATTTCTGGTAAAAGAGATTGTCGTATGACAATCAAATCTTACTTTATCGACAACAATTTTTTTCTTTAGCATTGATAAAATTTACTTTACTGCGTAGTAAAAAATATATATATATAAAAGTTTTAAGAATTGTTTGTGCTCGTCAATCTTGAAAATAATACGATTTACTTGACTATAAATATAATTTGTTTTACTGAAAATATAATTTATCTTACTATAAGATAATAGCCACTTGAAATGATATACTATAATCATAATGTACTTTTTATCTTAAATCTCCGGTATTTTTACTTTTAAGCAAATAAAATTTTTCACAAATTCGATAAAAATAGCCAGAATATTTTTATTAGTCTTGTAAGGTAGTCAATCTCTCAATTATTTTTCTTCGTGCAAAATCTTACCCACATTAAATTTTTTTGCATCGATGGCTTTGCGTTTTGATTCCGGAACTCAAGGGGCCGACCTGATATAAGAAATAAAGCATTTAAAAAGCGTGATATAAGCGCGTATAAAATATCTCAAAAAATATCTCAAAAAAATAGCAACTTAAACAAATTTAATATAAAAGTTGTAAAATTTCTGAAAATCACATTTGCGAATTACAATACACTGTTCACAAACAGTGTCATAATAAATGGCATAACAACTTTTTGTTAAATAATAAAAACTCGACTTTCCTTTAATCTATAATTTTGGACAGTAACAAATAATACACTGCCAGAAATGCTTCCTTTACATGTAAACGAAACTCGTGGTTATGAAGGAAATTAAAAGTAATAAATGATTTGATTAATATTAATAATGGAAGCAGCTCCGATAACCTTAACTTTGACATTTGTTATCAAGATCATGATCCTGATCTCCAACAAGTTTTAGCCGTCGCTCGTTATTTAAGAATTAATAAAAGAAATTCAACTATATAACACGAAAAATTACATGCTTTAAAATATGTTTGAGGGGATGCCGTGACAACTGCGACTTTGAAATATGTCGTCAACATCATGACTTTGAAAGATGACTCTAACAAATTTTAGGTGGCTTTCACCTTCGACTCTCACCCTTCCCCCTCTTGCAAAAGGCGCACGACTCTCATCTTCGATTCTCACCCTCTCTCCCCCCTACAAAGGGGCGCACAACTCTCATTTTCGACTCTCACTTCCCCTCCCCCTCCCCCTGACCCTTTAATACTTATACTTTTGACAAATGTATTGAATATTTTTTTGAAATAATAAGCGAATTGTACTCATTAGAATCGTTAGATAATTCTACATAAATATTCAGTGTTCATTTAATATTATTGTCATTTACTGATATTTTTCAATATTATATTTAGCAGAAATAAAACGTTATTTTTTTCAAACTTTTTTTGTTAATAACTTTTAACGAAGAACGAGCGACGGCTAAAACCTGTTGGAGATTATTTAAGATCATGATCTTGACAACATCAAGATCTTATTGGAACTGCTTCCATTATTATTATAATATTTGATTTAACTGAAAATTAAGTTACAGTTATTTAAATGTAATGAATACGTGAATATTAGTGTATATTAAATGTTCATGAAAAATACATTAAATTTCATATACGCATGTACACGAATATATTTTTATAAATACATAAAATTTAATGTAATGTCATGAAATTAAGTTCAATTGCGTAAAGTACATATGTATGTTAAATATCATGAAATTTTTAATAATGTACTTTACTTATCCTATATGACTGTTGAAACAATGAGAAATATAAATTAAATATCATAAGAGATTTGACCGAAACATGTATTCGTATTTTCCCTCCCCATTAAAAAAATCGAAAAATTAATTTCGCTATATATAGATGATAAACAATGAAATGTCATAATTAGCTCTTTCATTCGAATTACAATGATATATGAGAGAACAAAGAAACCTCTTCTCTGCTTAAATTGCCTGATTCACCATTTATCTGGGTTTATATGTGCTCAAGTTTCGTAGTCGATGTACTTTGGCTATTCATAACGGAATATGGTATTGTTTGTAGGTATTGTTACCAGAGTAACGGACCAAAGTGAATATTAGCAACAATGAACTTGCTACAACTTTTCTTATTCTTTTTTATTAGGGATTTATACTAATTACATAACTCTACCATAACATTTTACCTCGCAACATATATCTGCACCCAGAGAAAGGTTTCTTCAATTTAAAGAAATGTTACTTTCTTTGTTATACGGTTAAAGAAAAAATTTCTTTGATTTGAACGTCATTTTTTTTTTATTTGAACATATAATTTTTTAAAATCAAATAAATTCTTTTATTTCAAAAAATAATGTTTAAATTAAAGAAATGATGTTCAAATCAAAGAAATTTTTTCTTTAACCATATAGTAAAAAAACATTTCTTTAAATTAAAGAAACCTTTCTCTGGGTGTATTTATAAAAAATAGACTGAAGTCACTTTAAAAGAATATCTTATCAAGAAATACATAAATTTCCATCTCATATATCATGTTAATTTATTCGAGCATGCAAAATTATTCAAATTCCAGGCTTTCTTATCATATTTTATGTTCTCTGCTTGCGCAGTTCTACATAAGCGCAGACATTAAAGTGAGCGCATACCCACAATGTTTGCTTATGGCACACATATGTGCGTACAATATTATAGATCGATAGTCGACGTGTCTCGGTTAGTAGGTCTAGTTCATAAGAATTATATAGTTGCCGTATAGACATGCAATTCGCAGCTCTTAACTGCGACAACATTATCGCATTACACGTGATATCATTATTTTCTTCCTTTTCTTTTTTGTACAATTCTTTCTGTTATTGCAAACTATCATAGAAAATACACTAATTACTATGGAAAATACGTACTCAATATAATACGTACTCAATGTACTCCTAAATTGTAAAAATACTCAAAGAGCATTAATGGTAATCTTTTAAAAATTTTAAAAATCAAGCTATTTGCGTTCATTTATGTGTTCCAAATAACTAACATTTTTTAAATAACTGCTATAATTTGAATTTTTAATTACATTGTCTACATAAAAAAGACAAATTCTGTAAAAGTTATCACAATAAAATTATTACATAAGAATCAATATTAAATTAAATGAATATAATAATCCAATCAATAAAATATTACAGTATTATAATACCACACATAATATACAGGGTATAAATAACGCCCACTAATCATATAGTGTTATTCCTAATAAAAAGATGAAAAGTCCTCTACTATTTTGAAATTTTCGCCATATTTCTTTTTATGCAATGAGCAAAATTGATGTATAAGATAGCTTTAAGATATCTTTAAGAGTTTTTTAAGAAATCTTCAAAATATTTCACAAAGAACACGGAAAGATATTAAAATTGTTTTAAACACCGATTTTATCTCGGCAATTTTTAGAAATTAATATCTCGTTAACTATTGCGAAAATTACAAGATGGTACAGAACTTGGTTTTTTATTAGGAATAGTATTGTATGATTAGTAGGCGTTATTTCAGTTACACCCTGCATATATTACAGCATACATTAAAGTACAAAGAAAAGGAATTATGATTTTACAGTAGCTCTTTATTGCGTGATTAATTGATAAATGTATGGCAGATTGATGCGGGAGATTTGATGCTTATACATATAAATCACTTTTGGCGGATGTAGAGATTCGTGTGAGCTTTTTTTGTTCGCTTGACGGCGACTATTTATCAAAGCTTTCGGAGAATTTCTGGAAGCGAAATAGTGCCATCTATAATTCCCAATCCTCTTTCCTTATCAATATTTATCATAAGAAAAGAAAAAATTCTGGCAAGAATTAATAAGATACTAATCACTTATGTACATTAATTTATTTAGGTAAAAATTGCAAGCCAGATCATTTTCTAAGATTGTTTCCAAACACCAGTAAATCACCGATATTTTTATGTTTAGTAAAGTATATCGTAACTGTTGTACAATTAAATAGATCATAATATTTAAAAAAAAGTTTTTTAATATTAATTTTTAATAATTATGTAGAAATATAAACATAGAAATATAAAAGAGATCTTTTTTTAATGAATTTAAAGCTTAATTAATAAAAAACTGATTTTTATTTCATATTGCCTTTTTATCATTCGCTTTTTTTATTATTTCAATTATTTTAGTTATTTCAGTCGAGGTAGAAATTTTAGGCAAATTTTTTGTAGTGTCTTGAAAAATATGATTTAATAGCAAGAAATATTAAGCTCCATGAAAAGAATGCGCAATATAATCATCATGCGAAACATATATAACTCTGATTTCATCCAACTGACAATGATATCTTTGAAGGACATCGTATTATAATTTTAAAAAGCAGGTGTTAAAAAGAAAAAGAATGACGTGATGTCGAAAAAACATCTATAACTAACTGTGAAAAAAACTGATCGATACAAGAGTCGACAACGTGTTTCTACACTTTTTCACGAGTAAATCTGCTTCAGAGAGAGTTTAAATTTTAATGCACGAATTGATTCGCTGTTACAAGCTGCGTAAAAGTTGTCGCCTATAGTTACTCGTTACTCAACAGCTTTAATAATCCATATATTCTTAACATTGCCACGAGCTGATTTCATATAGTATTTTATTTTAAAAGTTCAATTCCATTAACCTTTGCAAAAAAAAATTACCTCTTATTACATACAAATCTAGCCCATGTTAAATTCAATATATTAGAAAATATTTTTCAGATTGATTAAAGATGCATGGAACCATTATCTGCTTTTATAAAAGGAAAATTTTGGTTGAATTTAAATACAAATATACTATAGATACTTTTAGATTCCGAAAGATCTGAAGAGTTCAAAGTTCGAGCTCAAAACTCAAAATGTTTGAATTGATCCGCGCGGCATATTCGCGGAATATTACTCTCAAAATAAGGATCCAGGCACAGTCTTCTGCACACATCGAATTTAACTACTTCAGTTAATGAATGAAACTTCCACTGACACTTTCCTCACTTTAACGCTTTCATTTAGTTTCACACGACACTTCTTATGAGTGCTAAATTTGTCAAACGGTCATTCAAAGTACGTAATTACAAAGTAACTACATTCTTTCAACACTAATTTGTTAATCAATATCATTTATTACAATATATATTGGGGAAGTATTAATTATCGTGTTACATCGCGGAACATCAACATTATTTTGCTTTTCTTCATAATTTAATGAAGGTGGATAAAATGTTAAGAAATAGCCTAAATCGACTTGTCGGGCACGACGATGTAAAAGCTCGAGAGCACTACATCGTCGGATAAATGAGAAAAAATTTAATACTGACAAGAGCAAGCATGACATTTGAAGAAAATGTGAGCTTCGAAATTTCTGCGATAAGAAATAAACGTTTAAATTCGTATGAAAAATTATCAATTTTATTTTTTCTCTCCTGTTATTACTGTTTAAATAAAGTAAATAATTATATTATTGATTTCCGCGTAAAATATTGTTTTAAACTTTCTTTATGCTTTCTTTAATTTATTATACACATTCAAATTACCATTTTTTCTAAAAATATTAACATTTTATATTTTTATTTATATCCATTTCAAAAATTATATTTATACATTTCCTTTCAATATTTTACATATTATACATTTCTTTCCAATATAATTTTAAATATAACAAAAAATAAAAATGTTGTATATAATACTAAATTTAAAACTAAGTTATATTACAGGTAGATTAAGCCAAGTAGCAAGGTGACGTCAAATGACATCTTAATAACATCTTAATGACGACTTTAATTAATTAATAAAACGTCACCTTGCTACTTCAGAATATACAATAAGAAAGATAAAACCAATCATTATTTTTCTATAAAGTTCATCTAATCGATTTCTTGAATGTTTCTTACGTGACATCGAAGTAGCTAAGATTGCAAGAAGCTCGTGAGATTCTATCGCAACCAGCTCATTTAGAATATTCATTTTTTTCATATTGAATTTCATAATAGGAAGGTGTGGTCGTGATGCATTGAAATCGGGCATTAAAGATTGATATTTAAGAATCATCGTCCGACGTGTATATTCACTCATATACTTTCATGATATCGCGTGATACTGTGCCCTTTCTTGCTCCCTTTATCGCGTGTTCATAACATTTTTCAGTGACCCATGGCTTACGTCGGCTTAATTACGTCGATGTTTGACGAGCAATTTTGTTAATATCCTCGTGTGAAATAACCTGCATTTAATGAGTCATAATTCTAAGATCTTGTTAGAGAAATGTTTAACTCTTAATTAATAACACGGAAAACTCAATACTATCGTGATAAGAAATCTTTCAGATTATTTATTTCTTTTATAGATCTTTTATAGATCAAATAATTCTTTTAAAGAGAGAGAAAGAGAAAGAAAACTGTTAGTCATATATTTATTTATTACTTGAGGCAACTAAGAATACAAATAAATGAAAGAAAAAAATATCACATTAAAATTGATTCTTTTTGTTATTCATTTATTTTTTGATAATCATAAGAAGCAAAGTTCAAAATTCTAAAAGACTTTATATATATCTTGATATTAGTTAAAGCAAATATACTCCGTATTTCGTCATTACATTTTTAACAAACATTGACAAATCTATTCAATACGTAAAAATAATTCCAAAGATTTTTAACTCTCCTAGGGAAAGCTCATTTACAATGTTCGTTGTTCTATTTTCCAAGAGCATATCGCACGCCAACGAGAATAATATGTACATTCTTCTCATGTTCTTCTTTGTACGGAAGCAAAACTTCAAAATAATTGGGAAAGTAGCTAATTCGTGGCTTGATATTTTAGACTACAAAGAAAGTAATTTCAAAAAAAAAGAAGACAAAAGGAAAAAAGTGAGAGATAAAAGTAACCTCGTTGTTTCAAAGAAAAAAGAATCAAAATACAAAGAAATTTTTTGTAATAATAATACGTGCCGACAAATTGGAGACGATATAAAAAAAGGGAGTTTCTAAGTTGATACTAGTGGAAATGGAGGGCCCATTATTCCATTATCGGAGCGAGAACAATGCAAATATTTGGATATGGATTGATAAATAATTAATAAATATTACTAACAAATAAAACGAAGATAACGTAAACATTTAAAGATAAATAATATAAAAGCATCAAAACATAAAGTTGGAATAAAGAATTTATCTGTAATGCAATCAATTATTTTCTAATTATTAATTTCGTATTTCAAGATGTAAATATGAACACAATATAAGAATAGGTATTCTTAAAATATCTATATAACACTGTTCTTGATCACTTTAAATTCTGTGATTATGAATGCATAAAATGCAATTACATATTTTGAAATATTACATATGATAAAATGCACATGTATATTTTTAGCTTAAAGTTTGATTTTTAAGAAATCATCCATCTCGTTTGTAAATATTATTATAAAAGATGGATGGTACAATCATTGATTAATATATCAATACTCTATGTAATCAATTCTTAATATGAAATAATGTTGTAAAAATAGTTGTTGAAATAAACATCCTTTAGGAAAAAATATTTCAATACACTGATTAACTATTCAGTAACTGATGATATTTCATATTAATTATATAGTTAAAATTAACTATAAGAATAATTAAAAAAAAAATCAGTATGTTGAAACACTTTTCTCCTGATGGGTGAATCACTCGACGAGACATACACACTATTATGTATGTAAAGATTGCTATACTACAGACAAAAAAAGTGTCGTTCTCTTCCAGCGAGATTACTTAGTGTTAATTATTCTATTTAACATTAACGTAATAAGAAATACATGTTGTTTTATTTACGCTTTTTTCTATGGACAACTTACTTAGCGTACGTCGCGTGAGTCACGAGGAAAAACGTTTCGTCATGCTGTTTCGGCATAATCTTGTAATCTATACGATGCTGTCTCTCTGTGGTATGTGCGCGCGCGCGCGCGTGTGTGTGTGTGTGTGTGTGCCTGCGTGCGTGCGTGCTTGCGTGGTGCGCGCGCGCGCGCGCGCGTGTGTGTGTGTGTGTGTGTGTGTGTGTGTGTATTAAAGATTATAGGACGAATGAATAAGTCTTGAATTTTTATCTGGTTATCAAAGCCCTATGATCTTTACGCTTCAACATGCACATGCAGGATGTCGCATGTTTTGATTCGACTTTCCCGTAATGTTTTGCTCCTCGAAAACAGACTTATAAGTATAAATAAATCAATCATGAGTTTATAAAAGAGTATAATAACGTTTGATGTAAGGTGTTTGACACTTAATAAAAAAGCAATCCATGCAGTCTTTATGATAAAATGTTTGCGCGACTCTTCAGTCAGTCGGAAAATAATAACAAAAATTATTCAAAAATTAGATATTTTCTCTATTATATCAACCTTAATGGAAAAAAACGTTGAACGGATTTAAAAAACGGGCTGAAAAATTTTATAGTCTTACGTTCTATCAAGTCTTAATATCATGAAGGTTTAATATCATCGTCGCGAGATTTGAAGCATAAAATGAAAAAAAGAAGATGCGAGAATAATATATCGATATAGGTTAGGTTAATCGGTAACAAGTCGAACGATCGTTTCGAGACTCGATCGTTTTGATTCGAATCTCGTACCTGTTGCAAGAGGAAGCCGAAGTGGTCTTAGCTCGCGGGATGCTCCAAGAACTCGTTTCCGCTGCAGAGATTGAATTGGTCCTCGTCGCTCGAAGCGGACTATCAGCAATCGTTGACAATCGCGTGCTAGCTACTCGGTGTTCGCGGTTCCGAATCGCGGCGCAGGCGACGCGGCGGCAATTGAGGCATCGATTCGCCGCGTTTTCGCGAGCGAGTAATCAGCTCGCAACGCAACGCGACGCGACGTGACGCCCGTGATATACGCTCACTTGACGCGCGATAACAGCAACGCGATAACGTATGTTACCCACATGCAAACGACACGTGCTTCTCTCGCTTATCGCACGCGCGTTCAAGCGATTCTTGCAGCGCGGTCGCTCTCGCCTAGCTGACCGAACAGATTCTGCCCTACTTGTGCGCCGCGTCTTTATACTCGTCCTTTCCTCTTATTTATGAGAATACGAAGGAGATTTCACGCCGCGAGATTACACGTCGCGGAAGATTCGATGAGTGTCGTCAACCATCACTGTTACCCGGTCACGGAACGAACCCGACGGCATTGACTCCGGCTTTTCCGCGACCAGGTGGCGGGTCGTCCTCAGTCGTCCTGTAACGAACGAGCGAATCTGACAGGAGGGTAGCACGCGCGCCGTAGCGTACCGCGCACGTGCCGGCACGTAATGCAAGGGCGGCGCAAACCAGGCTTCGACTAACCCTCATCTACCACCCCTCATTGTGAACGTCCCGCTCTATAATAATATATCAATCAATTACCAATTGGCATAACGAAATTTTCTAATTATAACGGCCAGAGAATGTAACAAACATAAAAAAATATGCAAAAATCAAATTGATGTGTGCTCAATAACATGTAATAATTAGTCCAGAGCTTTCAAAAGATAGAATTGTATTTGAAATTTCATTGGAAATAAAAGTAAAATTAATTAGAATTATATCGAATGGAAAATAAATTGATAACGTGAAATTATGTGATCTGTTTTACTTTTGGAACGAGATGTTAACGGTTCTCTGCAAATAATTTTTTTTTCTGTTCTTTTCATCTCGAAACGTTTGCGAATAACAATGAATATACAGATAACCTATTTTCTTATTTAAAAAATATTTTAGTGACGCGTTAAAGTCGTGTATATAAAAATAAAATTTTTTATATAAAAATTAATGTATTAAAAAAAAATTAATGTGCAACACATAAATCGTGCACTTTTATTGTTCACACAGAATCGATGTTTCAAAAACTAATGACTCGCGTCTCGACGCGATTTCCTTTCATTTGCTTTCTCTATATTCAAACACGTTTGCGAATGAACTGCATGATATAATTCACTTTCTTGAAAAAAAAAAGATAATAATAGAGACTACTAAATTAAGTTGACACACATATATAATCACCTGCAGAAATATATACGGCACTTTCAACCCTCTAAGAAGGATTACGTTGTGGAGTTGAATCTACATGATGGACAGTCTTACCAACTTTTCAATGGTTCTGTTACAGGATCATTCAATGAATAATCGTTACGGGATCCTTTCCCCCCTCCTTTATTGGTTAATTACATGCCTGTTCATTGAATCTCCATTACAAACTGATCGACGGTACGAAACGCGATGATTATAGATTCTACTTGGTCATGCCGTGTTTTACTTTGTATTACGAGGACACCGTGACTACCGCGAGCCTGGAATACATGACGTCATCACCTCTACGTTGCATTCAAGCGCGCGCGCGACGTTTCCGCTTATCGATATGGTTTAAATTATCGATCGTCGACGAGGTCGAAATGCAGATAGTCAACTGCGACCTCGCAAGTTCGGAACTAAAGTTTCCTCTATGTCGCAGCTTTGATTGCCAATGCGAAAAAAAATGTTGCTTATCTTACTATTAGCTTACAAATAAGTTATAATATATTTGTTTGCATTCGTTTCAAATGTTTTTTTCTTCAATTAATTCGATTAATTTAACATGTATGATGTAATATATAGCATAATTTAAATAATGTTAATTAATTAATTAATTCAAATTTATTTAAAAAAAAAACAAAGTCAAATTTAAATTTTTTTTAAATGAAGATAATATTACAAGAAATATATAATTAAAGTTTAAAAGTAGTAAATTTTAAAAATAGATTAAAAAAGCTATTTTTAAAACTTGTCAGACTATATTAAACTCGATCATTTAAAAGAAATAATGTTTAAATGTTTCAAAAACAAGCTTTTTCTCAAAGTGAAACAAGTTCCTTTAAACTTATTCCAAGTTCTTTTACCTTCGTTGCGTTATTTTGCTGTCGCATCACAAGGATTGAAATTGCCGTACTCTATACAGATAGGATTTACGAGTTACGACTTGTCACAGGAAGGCCTATGTCGATGCTTTTTGCTTCTTACGTAATTGATAGCATAAGTATATTCTCTCGTGAAGCTAACATATAGTAGCCAGTATAGTAGCCAGTATATACATATACAAATGCATTAATGATTCATCTAAATATCACTGTCAATAATGCAGTATTATGTCGCGCACAATCAATCTGCCATCAAAAAAACTATCAGCAAGGCTATCAAAGATCTAGAAAAAAGAATCGTTAAATATGTATACGTCCATCGCTAGTAATATTGCAAATAAACATTGCAAAAAAAAGATAATATATTGTCTAATAACGTTGCACAGGCATGTATGCGACCATTCCTTCGATAGCGATATGAGTCGGCTGCGAATGTTGGATACATGTACATCAGGCGATTTTCCATTTACCTTGTTGATTGATCATTCGCGGAAAAGACCACGAATATTTCATTCCAAGGTTGCAAGAATGTCCCGTGATGTATGTAATATTGTCCACTATATATATTATCAATTAGGCCCCTGTGTATATTCTGGATGTTTCTTGCTGACAAGGAAAGAAATGATTAATTAAGAGGGGATGAAATTAACTTTTTCTTCTTCTAAAAATAAAGTTTTGAAAAATATTGCTATGAAATTAAATTTTGAAAATAATGTTGTATTTTCTAATATCATGTGGATTTTAATTTTTATATACCGCTGTGTTACTTCAACTTAATTAATCTTTCGCATATACTTTTCATCTAAAAATTCGCAATTGTAAATTTACTAACATCGTTCAAATCTCTAAAAATTTTATTATCGAATCAGATACAAGTGATGTCTAGATCAATATTACGATTAAGATAATGCCACACGTAATGGAAAACTAGGGAAATGAGGCACGATTTCAAGAGACATGTCTTATTGTCGAGATAAAAAGATAAATACAATTTAACAAACTATATAAATGTATGCATTGGATGTAGGCTCGATAAAGGCATTGTTATTTCTGCAAAATTTTCATGGAAAAAAATATAACGTGCATCAGTAATTTTCTAATCGTAGCCATACCATGTACAGAGATGTTATATTAATTCAGTTATATCATGTATATATTGCGATTATATCATAGATATACAGGGTGTCTTAGAATTCGCGAACACCATTTATATACACATTTTTGCACAGATTATACATGCCAGAAGAAGCAATTTAAACAATATGTCAAAATTATTCACAAGTTGTCTAATCTACTATTTTACTTTCAATCATTTTTTCAGCGATATCGATTAGAAAATTCTCTTCTTAAATAAATTATATTCAAAATATTTAAATATTACTAATATTCAAATATCATGTTACAGTTTTTATAAAATCTTTATCAAAAAATATTAATAATATAATAACGTACACACAGTCATACAATGTGTCCATGCAACATGTAGCACTCATTCGTTAGCTTAAAATTGCTCTCATTTAAAAAGTTCTTTGAACGCAATATTTTGCCAAAAAAAAAAGTTGCTTCTTGGCACATATTTAATTATAATTATTGGCTCCGTTTGCGAATTCTAAGACACCCTGTATATGACTAGGGTATATTCCACTTGATACTCGCAATGCTCATGGAATCATTTCATTCTTGTTCTTTATCAAATGTTAAACAAGAACAAATAATGCATTGCAGTCTTATTGTTAGATATACGATACGTTAGATAGAAGATAGACTCAATTAATACTAATAGCATCTCTCCGATAGCACCTATATCTTTCCTCTTCTTTTGGATTTTTTAGTGGATTTCCAATCTACTATACATTGCAATAGTACCACTTGTCTTCCTCTGTGACAAGGAATATATCATTCCATCATTTATAAACTTTATTGTTCAAATATTAAAAAAGGATTAAATGATTCATTAGATGTATTGTACGTAAAATAAAACGCTTCTTTTTTTTCTTTTTTTTTCATTTGATTTGAACCAACCAAAGTACATATTTGTATGATATGTACCATATATATTATATATATATTGAGAACAATGAGAGTTAGACACTAGCACCTCTATACTAGGGGACATTACTACATACTACTTCCTCTTCTCTACTGTCAGTAAAAGCTTTTATTAGAGAGTAATCTGTAACAGTTAATAAATATTAATCATAAAAATGATGAAATCGTCTTACATTATTTGTAAAAAATATAACAATCGATAATTTTAAAACTATAGAAATTACTAATTTATCTTATGATACAGTCAGACGATAACTTATCAGCGATTCAGATATAAGTAGTTTTGCTCCATAAGTTCAGAGGTGTTGGTATCTAATTTTCAGTCGATTAATATAAATCAGTGAATTTTGTTATATTGCCTTAAAATGCCAAATGGAATAAAAAAATTAATTTAGAAAAAGCATGATTTTATTTAAAAAAAATATTGCATGTCAATAAAGAATTCATTTGTAAATAAAGAATTCGTTTGTTGTAGAAAGGAATTGTTAATAAAATGTTTCCTCTTTATGTTAATATATTAAAAATGTATTTTTGCTTACATTATTACATACGTATGCAATACGATCATATATTTATTAATCTTATTTGAAACATACTTTTTACACAAAATGTATGTATATAATGTATGTTTATACAGAATATACTTACAAATAATATTATTTTGAAAATGTGCTTTTCTAAAAATTTATAAAAAACATAGCTCTTAAATTTTTGTTTTGTTTTTTTTATTTATATAAATATGTATGCTTTTATATATCTATATCTCTCTCATAAGTTGTCGTAATTTCTCTCGTTTATAAATTCTAGATTTATACAAGATTTAAATGCTAAATCACTTTGATTTCTTTGTTTCATGTA